CAACAACTTAATGCAAGATGGGATCCTGGGTGGGATCAGGAACAGGAAAAGGCCATTAGTGGAAAAGCTGGTGAAATTCCAACGAAGGCTGGAATTTAGTCAATAGAAATGTACAATTGGTAACTTCTTAGTTTAGACAAATGTCCCATACATGTCCCATGAGATGGAAATAATAGGGGAAAAGGGAGGAGGGGAACTCTCTGTATTGCCTTTACAACTCTTTTGTACATCAAAACTTATTCCAATGTTTAAAGTTTATCTTTTAAAAATAGGGAATATTTGATCATTTATGGAATTTTACTCACTTAAGATAAAGCCACTGTGCTTCTGTTAATATTAATCTGATTGACTATGTGGTTTCTATTGAAAAATAGCTGTCTATTGGGTTTTAAATAACCTCTTGGAAATTGCTTATGTGCTAAAACTGTCCTCTATTCATAAGTGAGGCAATGTGACACAGTTCAAAGAACATGTCACTGTACGATTCTGTGTACTTGGGTGAATCATTTTAACCTCTTTGGAACTTTGGTGCTTTTCATCCAAAAAATGAGAGGAGTTGTCCTAGATTTACGTTTAATTAGCTACCAGCTCTAAAATGTTATGATTCACTTGGACAAATCATAGCACGAGTATGAAAAACAAAAATCTTTTAAAAATAATTTGAGAATATCATTGGTCTGGCTGAGGCAAGAGGAACTGAGGTGCAGCTGGACTTGTTGACAGGCTATTGTTTCTTCACCTTATCTAAAAAGTGACAATAAGGGAGGGTGCTCTGGAAACTTGGCAGAGGAGTCTGGAAATGCTTGGATGGTGGTTCTGGGAGGCAAATTTATGAAACAGCACAAAGGCCAACAGGATCAGGGGAAATACATTCAGGCAGAGAATGGTCTCAGGCAAGAGGTGCAAGGACAAGCTGTGAGGAAGGATGAGGCATTTGGGACAACACCGTGCGCTCCTGGCTGTTAAGCAATATGAAGATCACGGCAGAGACAAGCGCAACTCAGGGAATTCTCCTCTGGGGCTCTCACGGGAGGGGCTCAACCATCATGGGAGAAGAGTCAGAGCTTTAAGGTTAAAGGGAACCCTGAGTCCTCAATAGGAAAGGACCCTCCTTTCCAATGATGAGTGTACTAAAACAAATGGTTTTGCCTTAAACTGGAGGTAGAAAATGAGAGCAAACTAGCAAGGATAATGACCTAAAGTACTGGATTACAGGAAAAGCCAGCCTTCCACCAGAGGGGTAGAGTGCCTGAAAGAATGATTCATACTTGGAACCTGTGCCCAGTGAATCACATGAGACCAAGTATCTGCATATAATTACCTAGAACGTTCAGAGCTGTTACCCCAGGGTTCACATACTCTAAAATAATCTTTGCACTTTACAACAACTCATCTCACTGGAAAAGAGGAAGAGAGGAAAGGCAGCCACAAACCCTGAATGTTTATCTTTGAAAGATTAATTCTTCCTGACCGACAGAGGAACGGGTGCCCAGGCTCATGGCAGTGAAATGTGGGCGCCGCTGGGAACCAAATTTTATCACATGACCCCAGGGAAAGTTTAGGTGTCTCATCCAAAAGCATCTAATGGCTATTTTGGGGGGAGGTATACTAAGGACAAAGCACTATGCCTGGGAAACACAAAAAGAATAAAATAAAACCCTGCCCTTGAAGAGCCTATAACATAAGGGTAGAGTCAAATACATTTAATGGGAATACATTATGCCTTTCTATTATAAGTTAACTATTATTTATATAATGACTTGAAACACTTTTATATTCATTCTCTGCAGAGATTTCAAGGCTCACAAAACCTCATACGGCAGGCACTGTTCTTATTATTATCCACCTCTTCTCCCACCAACCAATGACAGATGTCCCCTGAGGCTCAAAGCAGTTAGGTGACCTACTTAAGATGGCACAGCCAGCAAGCAGTACAGTCAGAACCTGAACCTCATGCTTTTTCCTGTTACAAAAACAGGCTTGTTGTCCCAGTTTGCTTTAGAACTTTTCTCTTTGTCTTTAATGCCCTTCGGGTCACAAAGGTGTGCGTAGCTGTGGATTTGGTTTTATTTACCATCCCTACCCTGAACTCAGTGTGCCTCTTCCACCTGGGGAACAGTGCTTTTTCTTTAGTTGTTCAAAATCCTCACTCATATCTCTTGACATGTTGCCTCTCTCCCGTTCTCTCTAGTCTCTTCTAGAATTCACTGGATATCTTCTCAGTCTATCCTCTAAGCTTTTCATGACTCATCCATATTTTCCTTCTTTGTATCTCTCTGTGCTGCATCTGGGTGATTTCCTCAGATCTCTTCTCCAAAGCACTAATTCTCTCCTCATCTTTATACAATATGCTAGTTTACGCTTTTCAGACTCTACCTGTCCTTTATTCATTAATATTGTCTGTTCTTCCATTAGGGTTTCTCTACCCTCTTTTAACTTTTAGATCATTTGACATACGCTTATTGCACTGTCTCTGGCAGGATGTTCTTTCATACAAGAAGCCCACTTGTCACAACTGCTGGCTAGTTTTACTGTAAGTCCATCCTCAATGAAGATTGTTTATTTCAAGAAGATCTCACTTGCCCACGGTTAGGGGAGTGTCCCCACTCAGTAGTTTTCTGGGTGTTTTGAATGGGCATTTTATCATCCACATCCTATTTTATGCTAATTTATCCACTTGGGGAGAAATTTGGATCTCTTATCCAAAGTGGCCAGTTTAACTCAAAAGACATTTAATTGTGCATGTCACTTTCTCTGCAAGGTTCTGAGTTTAGGAAAAATGAAATAAATAAAATATTCTTATAATGAGGTATTGTATATAAAGTGCTTATCACAGAAAGTAAAACGTGGTAGACATTTGCCAAATGCCAAATATCTCCCCTTTTCAGTGCAGTAAGAAGCACATTGACTTGGGCATGTGGCTCCGAAGAATCCCTTCGACTCTCCACAGTCTTTTATCCTTTATTAAAGCTGCTTTTCACCATTGTGGAAATTAAAACTTACACAGTTTTCAAGATAAATATTTTTTTTGAAATTATTTTATTATTATAAGTGCACACAAATTATGAAATTGATCTGAGCAAGCTTTTAATTACTGGTTTTAGCCTTCTATGATTCTCTACAGAGTCCATTAATTCTTCTTTTGTAACAGTTGAGTTATTAATATAAGCAATCTCCTACTTGGACCAATTTCAAAGTTGAGGAGATTATCAAGCTACCCTAAAATTATACTTGAAAGGAATTCTAAGACAATTGTTAGTTATTACACACCATCCAAAGTGCTATTTTCAAAGATAAGCTAAGCTAACACACCACTGTCACTCTCCTAGGGATTTTACGAAGATAAACTAAAGAGCTGAAAATGAAACACTGTAACATTTATAATATAGCTGTCACAGAAATATGTAAATAAGTATCATTTGACTGCATTTACTGCCTTGAAAAGCAGCCTTTCATAGTTAATTAACAAGATTTCCCTTCAACAGATAGACTATTATCCAACAAAACAAAAACTAAAACTATTCTTTCACTGTCAATCCATTATTGTGTAAAAGAAAAAAAATGGGGAAATTTTTTGAAAGAATTTTCAGTGAATATATTTATATTTGAAAGTTTCACAATGAATAAAGTTTCAGCATTACTTAAGATGCAAAACTAATGCTCCCTCTTAGCTCACACAATAAAAATTATGTTTATTTCTTACCTCTGAACTTCTTGGGAGGGTTGGCAAGGTCCCCGGCCTCTGGGTGCACCACGCATCTGTCATCCACTAACCTAGAAAGAAATGCACGTTTACATTGTTAACTTCATCATATTCATAAAGCGTAGACTGCACATGGATACTCCACAAATATCTACTAAAAGTTTTAATACTATTCTTCACTAAGAAACTTTTTAATAATCATGGATTTATAAAAAGATTTGGTTGTAGAGATATTAATTAAAGCAAGGCTTATGAAACTGAAAAACAGGAAACATTATTAAGTGGTAGGAAACTAGTTAGATAAATCATGATATGGACAAACCACGGAACACTGTAGAGTTATTTAAAACTCTATTAAATGAAATGTACTGGCCTGCAAAATGTTCATAATATTTTTTGAATATAAGAGGTAACCAATCAATAAGATATTGTATATGCCTAAACACATACTCACACACCTCTACACATATACATACAAGGAATGGAACACGGATAGTAAAATAGTTAGGAGGATTAAATGACTTGATGTTTTTAAAGTACCTAGTACAGTTTCTGGAAATTTCTGTTTAGTTGATAAGTAAAATCAAGAACCTTGGCTGTCCCATCCCTCACCATACTCTCTACTTCTAGAAGAGTGGCTGACACATAGCAAGTGCTCAACAAATATTAGTCAAATGACTAAATTGCCTTTATAGTTACAAAGACATGCTTAAACTCTATTGAAATATTTATAAGAAGCCAATTTTCAGGACAATTCCAAGACAGAGAAGCTAAATCTCTGAACTCACAGCCAGGGAACATGAATCTCCCATTCAAAGAGAAAGATCTAACTACCAGAGATTTACTAATGTTCGTTTCTCCATTGACTAAGTAGTGGGAGTAACAAGGTTTTTTCGAGAATATTGAGAGAATGCATGTGAATTAATTACATGTATTTGAATTCATTTAAAGGGAGATGCCCAAGTTGTGCCTTTCTGTTTGTTTTTTTTTTTTAAAGTATCAACCAGACTCACTAGCATGCACCAACTCCAGGACAGGATAAACCCTCTGAACTAGGATGATCAACCAAATCAAAATGAAACTTTTGGTTCCTGGTTTGTCTAGTTACTCGAAGCAGACACTTCCTAAATCACCAGATATTTCTATGAGATCCAATTTCCACAAAACAAAATGCTAATTTTGTCAGCAAAAAAAAAGCAATACAGTC